ATCCGTAGGATTGGCAGGTGTACCGTCCCAAGGAACATCATCGCATCTGCTCGAGTTATGGGCAACAGACGTTTCCTATGCACTAGTTCTATTTTAAAGAGGCCCGGCTCAGACTGCCATTCTCTGATTTTCACTTGGGCCTTTTCGATTGGCTGCATCTGGCTCCGTCCCAGTTGCATCCCAACGCGCTGGCTTTTATCCGTGCGTACGAGCTAGTGTGTAGCTTTCTCCAGGTCGAAGCCACGGTGCCTTTATTTTTCCGTATTTTTCATATGCAGCGGCAGACAGTGAACGGCCGGCAGGGTTGGGTCTCATTTAAGCAGCCGACCACGCTTTTTAAGACGTATAGCGACTCCGTCCGGGACTTTAAGGGTCGCTTCTTCCTTGTGAGGCCGATCACACGGGAAGGGTCGAACTCTCTTTTTGCTGAGGGGGAGCTAGTGGTGGACGGCCAGCGGTTTATCGCGTGGCTTCCGAAGGTGCATTTGCTGTGGACCCCGGAGCATTTCAACCGTGGAACCGACCGATATATAGTGCGGGCTAGGACCCTCGACGAGGGGGACATGGCTGCCTACATGAAGATAATGGCGTTTGTGTGGGGTCTGCCGCCGTCGAGACTGGTGACGCCTGATGATCGGTATATTCTCGACGCAGAGGGGAATGTGCGGACAAAGAAGAGGCTAATTAATATGAAAACCCTGCTCGGGTGCGCCTCAGAGGCGGATGCTCTCGCTTACCTAGGTGGGGTCTCTCCCCTTTTCTCGTGACTCTATGTTTTGTCTATCACTGACTTCTTTTTTATGTTTTTTGCAGCGAACATGTCTTCCATCGAAGAGCGGGTGAGCCAAATGATCGGGCAGGAAGCTGTGGTCTATGGTGGTCAGAGCTCGTCTTCGTCTCCCCAGCGGAGTCAGTCTCCCTCATCTCAGGGGGCTGCGAAGAGGCCAAGAAGCGAGGGGGTCAGTGGCCTGATTGATCTGACGACCGGGTCTGCTGAGGAGGACTATGCTGTCCCGCCGTGCCATCAGCACCCGAGCTATTTTCACGGGGCCAGGTCGCCCACTATTCCTGCTGGTGAAGTGAAGGCGGTTCTAGACGCGGACCGAGAGTCCCGTCGTCGCATCTTGGCGGAGGATCTGGCCGCGATGATGCAGACCTTTACCATGGCGATGGTCCTGAGTGAGGAAGACGCTCTACCAACGAGCTGACCAAGCTGCGAGGGGATCTCACTTTCATGCAGTCGCGCCTGGCCAAGCTCTCCGAGGAGTTGGAAGAGAGTCAGAAGGACGCCGCTAACCAGCACAAGCGGGCGGATGATGCCGAGGAAAAGGTGGCGACTATCAAGGAGATGTTGGGGGCGGTGGAGACCGAGGTGCAAGCGCTGCGGGTCCGCGTGGAGGTTCTAGACAACGCACTTCGTCCTGCCGAGGATGAGACCGAGGAAGACATGCGGATGATCACTCTAGCTGATTTTCTCGCCCGGATTCGGGTGTTGGAGAATGATTGCCTGGAAGCCGTCGAGGTCGGGTTCAAAAGTGCTGTCGCGCAGCTCCAGGTCGTCAACTCTGGCGTCGCTTTGGTCGTGGAAGGGGTTGGGCCCTATCACGAGATCGTCGACGGGAAGGTGGTCGATCCGGAGCTTGTCGTCCCCGACGTCGTCACCGTGGATACTGAAAAGGAGGGTGAGGACGTGTAGACTTTCCCCGGGCCTGCATGCTCGTAGTTTTCTGGGCCTGCGTGCCGATGTTTTTATAATTTCCTTTTAAGTGTTTTGTTTTGACGGGCTTGCATGCCCTTGATGGTGTAACATAACTGCTGGGCTGGTGCCCTTTTATAATTCTCGAAAATTTTCTAAGTGTGTGCTCGGTTTTGTTTCTGCATGTTTGTTTATGTTCGTTTTATTTCTGCACGTACTTGTATGCTCGTTTTATTTCTGCACGTACTTGTATGCTCGAAATGTTTGTATGTTTGAAATGCATGTTTAGTATGCTTTTGGGCCTGTCCGGGGTGGTAGCTCGACGACAATTGTTTTTGGCGGTGTGGGGAACTGGCCGGCTGGTCGGCTTTATCGTCTGACCGTCTCGGGGGTGGTTCTCCCCGTGGCGTGGACGTCCCATCGCGAGCTGGGTGTCTTGCCTGTATCGGTACGGCGGCGAGGAGTCTCGATCGAGGTGTTCTTCGTAGAGCAAGGCCTTCTGCCCGTGCAGACAAGAGGCAGGGCTTGCTTTTTCGTTGGTCTTTAGAAGATGCGAGGAGGTGCGGTGGTACCATGTCGCCCCCCAGTGGTCGCGACGTCTGGTCGTCATGGACAGTATTTAACTGTAGTACCGCTTCAGCTTCTCGGCATTCCATGGTTGAGCTAGTTGTTCCCCGTGTAGGTTTTCGAGGTAGTAGGATCCGTGTTCCGTCTTGTCGCAGACACGGTAGGGAACTTCCCAATTTTCGGCTAGTTTACCCTTGTGAGAGTCTTTTTGGTTTCTGCGCAAGACTAAATCGCCGATTTGGAAGTCACGTTTCAGGACTTTATTGTCGTGGCGGAGTGCGACTGCTGTTTCAGCCGGGCTTCCCGAAGGGCTGCTCCCGACCGAATCTCCTCGACTAGGTCGAGCTCCTCTCGTAGGGCGTCGTCGTTGTCTTTGGTTTCGAGGGGAGGTTCAGTTCATCTGGATGACTCGCGTATCTCGATTGGGATCACCATCTCGGTTCCGTACGTTAGGCGAAATGGTGTTTCCCCCGTGGTTGAGTGAGACGTAGTTCGGTATGCCCATAAGACGCTATGTAGTTCCTCGACCCATGCCCTCTTGGCGTCGCTGAGTCTTCATTTTAGCCCTCTGAGTATTACCCTGTTCGCGGATTCGGCTTGGCCGTTCGTCTGAGGATGTTCGACCGAGGCGAAGTGGTGCTTGGTCCCGAGCTTGGTGACGAAGTCCCGGAAGTTTTTGTCGGTGAACTGTGTGCCGTTGTCGGTGACGATGGCGAGCGGGACCCCGAATCTTGCGAGGATATTTCTTTTGTAGAACCGGAGTATGTTGTGGGCCGTGATTTTGGCTAGGGCTTCGGCCTCTATCCATTTGGTGAAGTAGTCGACGCCCATGATCAGGTACTTGTTCTGATAGGAACCTAGGGTGAAGGGGTCGAGGATATCCATCCCCCACCAGGCAAACGGCCATGGGGAGGAGAGGGATTTAAGTTCGGTCGGTGGGGCGAGGTGCATGTCCCCGTGCCTTTGGCATTTATCGCATCTCTGGACGTGCTCCTTCGCGTCTGCTTGCATCGATGGCCAGTAGTAGCCTGCTCGCAAGGCCTTTCGCGCCATGGATCGTCCCCTAAGGTGCTGCGCGTTGATGCCCTTGTGGATTTCCTCCAGGACGCCTGTGGTCTGGGAGGCGTCGATGCATTTGAGGAGCGGGACCGCGAAGCTCCTGCGATATAATTTGCCTTCGAGGAGGACATATGAGCAGGATCGCCGTTTGATCGCGCTGGCTTCTTTGGGGTCAGCTGGTAGGAGGCCCGTGCTGAGGTAGGCGTGTAGGGGTGTCATCCAACAGTTAGTATCTCCTATGGCGTTGACTTCGAGCGGGGCGTCGGCCGTTTTAGTGCTCGGTTGTGATAGGACTTCTTGGATGACCGATTTATGTCCGCCTCGCTTTTTGGTGCTCGCCAGTTTTGAGAGAATATCGACTCGGGTGTTCTGCTCGCGCGGGACGTATTGAACTTCCGTGGAGTTTAAACTTTGCAGTTTTTCGGTAATGAGTGCCAAGTATTCGGCGAGGTTGTCATTTTTCGCCTGATATTCTCCGCGTACTTGTGAGGCGACCAACTGAGAATCTGTGTAGATTTTAATCTCTTTGGCCCCAAGGTCTGATGTCAGGCGAAGTCCGGCCAGGAAGGCTTCGTACTCGGCTTGGTTGTTTGTCGTCGGGAAGTCCAGTGTGAGGGAGACCGCTATGATGGTGCCCTCTTCGTTGTCGAGGATGATGCCCGCTCCGCTGGCCGTGGAGTTTGAGGAGCCGTCGACGAAGATAATCCATTTGTGGCTCCCTGTGGTAGGGTCCGGCGAGGAGGTCATCTCGGCGACAAAGTCGGCCAGAACTTGGGCCTTGAGGGCTTTCCTGCCTTCGTAGATGATGTCGAACTCATATAGTTCTAATGATAGTGGGATGGGGTTGGATGTTTAGATTGTTGGATGGAATGGAAAGGAATGATATAAATTTAAGTTTGAATTGATTAAAAAAAAGATGAAATAGAGTGAAATAGGATGAAATGCATTCCATCCAATTTCATCACTTTGACAAAATAAAAAAATATCTATATTCCTTCGTGATATATCAATACAATATACCAACATATTTATTTCATTCCACTCCACTCCCTTTAATCCTTTTCCAGTCTATTCATATTAGATCTTTCAAGTATTATGAGTGAAAACAAAGCTGAATGGATAATCTCAAATATTGTGTTTAATTGAGAATATAAGTTGTATATAAAATAAAAAAAAGTTAATTTTTTCTTCAATTTTAACAAAATTGTAAATCAATGATTATAATTGCGCACATTTTGAAAACTTAAATTAAGATGACTATAATGTGTGTTTAGTGGTTGGCTAAAAATTGAAATACTTGCAATATTATGAGACATCATACTTATTCTCTATTATCTACATTAAAGACCGAAAATTTATCAAATAAATTATTAAAAAAAAAAGTAATTTAATATTTCACTTGAATTTGTTTTGGACCGTTACCAATTTTCCAATCTCCAACGGAAACTTTTAATTATTTGTTTCTTCGATAATCAATCATCACAAATGGACCTTTTCAACATCAACGGCATAAAATAAAACGACTGCGTATCCGCATTTCACGCGCATAAACTTCACGCGCTTACATTCCTATAAATATTCATCTACTCGCTTCGCTTTTCTCAAACACTTTACTCTCTCTTCAGAAACATCTTTCTGTAAACCTCTTTGTATTTTGAAGAATTCTGTAGAAATAGCTATGTCTGTATTCAACTTGAAATTGGCATTTATGCTTGTGGCTGCATTGTTGTTGACAACTACAATGGCTCAATCTCCAGCTTCATCTCCTACCAAATCGAAGTCACCGAGAAAAGCGATTTCTCCTTCACCAGCTGCCGTGACTCAACCGCCTGCTTCTTCTCCCGCCAACGGAGGTTCTTCTCCTGAACAATCGGCGGTCTCTCCTTCTTCCATCTCTGGTCCACCATCTGAAGCACCAGGACCTGCTTCCACCGGCGTAGTTTTGAGCAGAGTCTCTGCGGCTGCTGGATCTGCGCTTTTAATCTGCGTAACTGCTTTGATCATGTAGAGACTTGAGACTCTTTTTTGTTATTTAATTTTTTTAACTTATATGAATTCTAGATTTTATTTATTCATTTTGCATTACAGACCTTCTGAATGAAATTGAAATCTGTAACTTTTATTTAATTAATAACTATTAAATATTTATATCCCATAACAATTGCACTTTTCTTTTAATTTTAAAGTACGTATGGACCTCACATGACTTATTTTAATTTTAAAAATATATGCTAACCTTCTCTAACATCTAACAAAAAAACCTCACGTGATCTAATAAAAAAGAGAAATGTTCATTTGACACTAATTTATACATTTACCTTACAAGTAATTTATATAATAAATGTACCCTCATTATTTTCTTTATAATTTTATTTTTCACTTCGATTTATGTAACACTAGCATAACTCAATAAAAACTTCTAAGTTTTTAGTGACAAAAAAAACTGATATAGAATCTATACTGTTTTTTCTGTCATTAAAAAAAGTTTGTTGTATATAAGTCTAGAGGAGAAGGGAGGTTATGACATATTTTTGAATTAGAGAAAATGTCAATGTTCTTTTAATATAACTTATTTTAACAGGACTTAAAGAATGAGTGTAATTTTTTCTATATATTTTTAGCCTGATCCAACCACCATAAAAATTGAAGAACTGATCCATGCTATGACGTCCACCAACATTCAAGCATCCGAATCCAATAATCAATACCGCCATTAAACTTATCAATAATTTTTTGCCAACTTTGCTTGATTTTTTTTTAAATAACATATATTTTCAAATAAAATACTATAATTGAGTTTTACAAAAATATATCATACTAATATTGAACTGATGCGCCATATCATTTTTTTCTTCATAAGCAATGATTCATTATGCTTGCACAAGTGGTGTAGAATCTGTTAGGAAACTCTGATAACTGACTTGATTTATTGAATAATAGAAAAACTAATATATAGTTGATTACACAAACTGACTATCCTAAAACTTAGCTAGAAAATAGAAACTAATAAAGACTAAATCAAAATGTATCCAAGTGCTGTGCTAACAGCCCTATAAAGTAGGATATTTATTCTAACAAACTAACCAAGTCATAATTAACCCTATCATTTCCTCCCTTAAACTAGACAGTATACTAGTTTAACTTAGGTGCATCACATACTCCAAGTTTCTTCCTAAGATGCTGCTGAAATGTCTTCAACTTGAGAGGCTTAGTGAAAATGTCTGCTATCTGTTGTTCAGTGCCACAAAACTTCAGTTGTACAGCTCCTTCATTCACCATATCACGCAGGAAGTGGAACCTTACATCAATGTGTTTACTCTTTTCGTGCATCACAGGGTTTTTGGATAGCTTAATTGTTGAACTATTGTCGCAAAATATAACGGGACTGCTACTGCCATTATAGCCAAGCTTCTTCAACACTCTTTTCATCCATATCATTTGACATGTGCAAGCTGCAGCAGCTACAAATTCTGCTTCTGTGGTGCTCAGTGCGACAATAGGTTGTTTCCTTGAAGACCATGCTACAGCTGCATTGCTCAGAATAAATGCATACCCGGATGTACTCTTTCTGTCCTCCATACTTCCAGCATAATCACTGTCGGTGAATCCGATCAGCTCTGTATTTCCTGTCTTCCTATAGAGAATCCCATAGCTAGTGGTTCCTTGTAAATACCTTAATATCCTTTTAGCTGCCATAAGATGAAGCTCAGTTGGATTTGACATGTATCTACTAATAAGGCTAACTGAATACATCACATCAGGTCTTGTAGTTGTCAGATAAATCATGCTTCCAACCAGCTGCTTGTAGACTGAACTATTCACTTTCACACCATCTTCATCTTTGTGAATTTTGAAACCTGGAACCATTGGATTCTGCACAGAATTGCTTGCTTCCATTCCAAATTTCTTCAACATATCTTTCACATACTTCTTTTGGCTGATAAATATCCCTTCATCAAACTGTAATACTTCTATACCAAGAAAGTATTTCATCCTTTCCAAGTCAGACATGTCAAACTCCTTCATCATGGACTGTTTGAACTCTCTCATCATAGCACTATCATTACCAGTATAGATCAAATCATCAACATATAGGCTAACAATTAAGAAGTTACCTTGTTTATTCACTTTAGTAAATAATGTTTGTTCACTTGCATCCTTCTCGAATCCTGTCTGCTTGAAGTATGACTCTATTCGACTGAACCATGCTCGCGGTGCTTGCTTTAGTCCATATAAAGCTTTGTTAAGCTTGTAGACCTTCCTTTCTTCATCCTTCAACTCATAACCCTTAGGTTGTTCAACATAGACCTCTTCCGATAATTCTCCTTGGAGAAAGGCAGATTTCACATCAAGTTGATAAATAATCCAACTTCTTTGAGCTGCAAGAGCAATGATCATACGTATAGTGTCCATACGAGCTACAGGAGCATACACTTCATCATAATCAACCCCTTGTTGCTGAGCATATCCTTTCGCCACTAAGCGAGCTTTATATTTTTCAATTTCTCCCAGCTGATTCAATTTGGTCTTGTATACCCATTTGACTCCTATGGTTTTAGCACCTCTTGGCAAATCAGTTAGCTGCCATGTCCCGTTCTTCTCGATTGTACTTATTTCATCATCCATTGCTTGTCTCCATTTTTCACTTTGCACTGCCTCTTCGAAACTGATTGGATCAGAGCTAGCAAAGAAAGCAAAATGTACTTGACCATCTTCTTCTTCTTCACCAATAACATCTTCACCAATAACATAATCATTCATCCATATTGGTGCTCTTCTAACTCTGATTTCTCTTGCATTAGAAGTTGTAGGATTGGCACTAGGTACAACAGCCTCAATTGCATCACTTGTCATCTCCTTTTCTTCTTCTTCGTTGCTTTATGTGTCATGATTTTGTTGGATGTTTTCATCATTTTCTTCTCCCACCTCTAGATCAAGTCTAATAAAATCTTGGTAACTTTCATCCCAATTCCACTTCTTTTCTTCCTCAAAGACAACATCCCTACTGATTATGACTTTCTTGTTCAAAGGATCATAGAGTTTATATCCCTTGGATTCTGCACTCACCCCAAACAGAACATAACTGCGACTTTTATCATCCAGTTTAGTTCGTCTAGCATCAGGGACGTGAGCATGAGCTACAGAACCAAACACTTTGAAGTGTTCAACTGAAGGTTTCACCCCACTCCAAGCTTCTTCAGGGGTCATGTCCTTGAGTGATGATGTTGGACATCTATTTAGAACATAGAAGGCCCAATTCACAACTTCTGGCCAGAAATTTCTCGGCACATCTTTCTCAGCCAACAGACATCTCACCATATTCATTACAGTTCTGTTTCTTCGTTCTGCAACACCATTTTGCTGAGGTGTGTAAACTGTGGTTAACTGCCTCTTAATGCCATTCTCTCTACAATATTCTTTGAACTCATTTGATGTAAATTCACCTCCACGATCTGTTCTTAAGCATTTAATGGACAAACCAGATGCTTTCTCTACACAGGTTCTGAATTGCTTAAAGACACTAAACGCATCGGACTTATATGTAAGAAAATACACCCAAGCTTTTCTACTAAAATCATCAATGAAACAAATGAGATACCTTTTTTGTCCGTTGGAAGTAGGGGAGATTGGACCACAAATGTCAGAATGAATCGGCTCTAGTTTTTCTGAAGCTCTCCATATCGCCTTCTTTGGAATAGTTTCTCGATGTTGCTTCCCTTTTAAACAGCCAGTGCACACAACATTGGTTTCAGCAAAATGTGGCAGCCCTTTCACCATTTCCTTGTTTTTCAGAGTTTTCAAGCCTGTATAGCTTAGATGACCATATCTACGGTGCCAAAGTTGAGCTAGATCTTGGACATCAGCTTGAAAGCACTCTTCACTCATTTCCTGCTTGCAACAAGGTGTATTTGTGAGCAACACAAACATCCTGTTGGCTGTCATTTTGCTGGTAATGACAAGACCCTTTGTAGGATGGTAGATCCGACATTGATTGTCCTTTATCACAACAGCAAGACCTTTCTCTTGTAGCTGTCCAATGCTAAGAAGATTGTTCTTTAGGTCTGGCACGTAGAACACATCTTTGACAGTGTGATAAACTCCTTCCAAAACTAACCTCACACTTCCTTTTCCAACAACATTCATTGTTGTATGGTTGCCCAATCTGACATTTCTTTTGAATCCATTCTCCATATCCATGAATAGTGAAGAATCACCGCACATATGGTTGCTGCATCCGGTGTCCAGAAACCACACATCTTGTTGATTAATTCTAGAAGATTCAACATATGCCATAAGCAGCATCTCTTCTGATTCTTCAAGCTCAGCATAGTTTGCTTGCTTCCCTAAATTTGGACACTCGTACTGATAGTGTCCTAGCTGATGGCATGTGTAGCATTCAACGGTCGCCCTGTTGTAACTTTGCCGACCCTTGCCTCTGCCTCTTCCTCCTCTGAAAGTGCTTCTTCCTCGTCCTCTTCCACCATTTCTTTCATCATAGGACACCTTGAGAGCATGTTCTTCGTCTCCATCTTTCTTAAACTTTTGCTCATGGACAAGAAGAGAACTCTGCAAGGCATCAACAGAGAGTTCATCAATGTCCTTTGACTCTTCTATGGAACAAACTATATAGTTCCATTTTTCAGTGAGGGTTCTCAAGATCTTCTCTACAATCTTGATATCAGCCATATCCTCTCCATAATTTCTCATATCATTTGCGATCATCATCACTCGGCTAAAATAAACACTGATTGATTCACCTTGTTTCATAGCTAAGACCTCAAACTCTCTGCGGAGGCGGTTGAGTTGAGCCCTTTGAACTCGAGCATTCCCTTGACATTTCATCTTCATGGAATCCCAAAGTTGCTTGGATGTCTCCTTCTGAGTGATTGTTTTAAGAATTGACTTGTCAAGAGATTGAAACAAGTAATTCTTCGCCTTTAGATCTTTGAGTTGCGCTTCCTCCAGTGTCTTCTTTTGTGATGCTGTTAACACTTCATCAGCACCTGG